CCCTCCGCCGCCGCGTGAGGGCCTCCGAGGCGCGGGTGCTCGGCCCCACTGATGGTGGCGGTGGGATCTGGCGCCTCCTCTCCGTTGGAGGGCTTTGGTTCCCTGGGGCGGCGGCCCCGACCGGTGGGCGCGGTGCAGCCGGCGGACTGCGCCGGCGGGCTCTGGTGGGCAGCCTCCCACGGCCGTGCGGGCGGCGTGGGGGCTGCGGACGCTGGCACAGTGGCGGCTCCTCGCAATCCGTCATGGCTTCATGTAGAAGATCCGCCCCTGATCCGATCTGTCCCGATCCGTGCTGGCACCGGTCCTTGGCAGCTGTTTTCGGCGTCCCCTATTGCCGGCCTGGCGGATCTGGCGTGCGGGTGAGGTTCCGAGGGAAACCCCTAGCTGGCGCGGCGGCCTCCCCAAAGTCGACGCCTTTGGCGCCGATCCCCTTCCTGGAGGCTTTGGGGTGGATCCTCTCCCTTCCACCTCCTCCTCGAGCTATGGCGAAAGCTTTTGTTCCCTTGTGCTGGGCGTCGACGGCACCCTGGTGTCGTGTTCCTTCTTGAAGGCGGCGGCTAGGAACAGCTCTTGGTGGCGGGGCTGCTGGTGGCGTGGTGGCGATGCGCTTCGGCCTTCTACTTGGTGCTGCGCCTTGTGTCGCGGGACCAGCAGACGGTTTCTTTGGTGAAGCGGTGCTTCATCCATACATTGATGGCGCCGGATCTTGACGGCGTGGCGCAGTGCAGATTCGGAGTTCGATGTGGGAGGATGAACTCGCGCAAGAGGACGACGCTGTCGGGCGTTGTGGTGGCGTCGACGGCAGAGAGAACTGGCACGGTAGATGCAACAGTACAGCTCTAAAGATGGACTCGTGGCAGGTGGCTGCGGCGGCCTCAAACCTGGCAGGCGTCCTGGTTGAGTAGTGTGCCGGACTGGTAGGTAACCCATACCAGGCAGGCGTCCTGGTTGGGACCTCAGGTCTTAGATGTTTAGGTTTGGCTGCGATGTCTGTTTGGTATTAGGGCCAGGCTATCAGCGCCCCTTCATCAATTGGATAGGTGTAGCGACAGTTGTTGCTTAGACGGTGGCTTTAGTCTTGCTGTTGTATGACTTTGTAAGGTCTTGTGAGAATAATTAATAGAGTGACCGTATGCATCGCCCAGAAGCAGAGGGCGGGGGTCATCCTCCTTTTCAAAAAAAAAAACAAGGCCGACCTTGACGTGAAGCTCTGAAGTCTGCAGTGCACACAAGAGGCCTCGACTCTGAATCTGAACCTTGCCTGGTTGCCTTCTTGGCCGACCATTTAGGGCATGTTCGGAGTCCCTCCGCTCCGCACGACCCGCTCCAGGAGCAGCCGGAGCTGCAGTTTAAAACAGCGGAGCGAGGAAATTGGTACTCCGTGGATTCTGTGATTTCCGGAGCGGGTGGGTTTCGAACAGCCCCTTAGTTGCAAAATTCAGGTTCAGAGTACCACGTCAGGATGTGCTCATGCCCACCTCTTGTGTGACAGAATGATGGTAAAAAATTGGTAGCTGTACACACAAACATGATGTAAATTGTCACCACACTAATTAACTTTGCGTACTGATCTTCTTTATCCAGATTGCAGGAGAAAAGAAAACGGAGAAGACGAGAGAGTAGGGGAAGAAGACGTGGTGGAACCGGGCCACGACGACACACAAACCGCGGCCATGGTGGAGTCAGAGTAGGAGAGGGCTGCCGCAGAGGCTAGCTGGCAGGTGGGAGATGATCAGGTTCCGGGAGACGGCTCCGAGGCAAAGGTCCAAAGGGACCATGCCAAAAAAAATGCTCGGCTGCTCTGGCTGAGCAGCCAGCACACACATAGATGATAGATTACGACCTGGATATTCACGGTGATTTTGTGGACTAGCTGTAGCTAGATGCTCTTGCTTTATTGGCTTTCAACATTGGCCATAAGCTTCGAACATAAACGTATTATACTTGGGAGAGCGAATTCCTGTTTCTACCACTATTTAGACATTTTTGTACGCGAATTGCCCAATCGAACAGTTTTCATCCGGATTACCCTGTTTTTCTTTGTTTATCTCCTCCCTTCTTAATGGGAAAACAAAGCACCTGATGTGTTCATCAAAAACAACAACAGTAAGATAAACATGGAATGATTGGAGGGTGGACATGGAGTCATGGACTCGCTTATTCAGACTAACTAAACACGACACATCTGACCTGACACAGGAACCGAGACCAATTAATGGATACAAGCTGTGCGCTGCGGTGCAGCCATGCTAAAAAGGAATGGTCGATCTCTCAGACTCTCACATCTGAAATCAAAACCAAAGGACGCGGTAGCATCTGAAACACTAGAAACAAATCTAGCTAGCACCATTGTACTAGTGGGAAACACCAAGTGAAGAAAAAGACAGGTCGCAAGAGAAGTCCAAACTTTGTGTGATATTACTTCGTGCGATCTTCACTTTCAAGCATGTGGGATGGATCCTTCTGCAATAGTGAGAGAATGTTGTTGTTGTCCCGCTGAATCACACCCTCGCCGGGCGGACACCCACACACGCACAAACTGCTCGGTCAGGGGAGAAAACAGAGCGGCGGTTCAGCACGAACAGAGGAGCACACACAGGTTTCAGGCAACCAATGCCTTTCTTTTTTCAAGAACACGCGCGAGAATCGCACGTCTTTGTATTAATAGAGGTAGATAATTTTTTACAAACAAGTTACAAGCCTCTCACGGGAGGGCCGTCTCCGCTATGACGTGCAACACGGACTACATGGGCTACTGGCTAGACACGCACAACCTCTTATTACATGGTCAAGATCAACTCGACTAGCTGTCTCTTACGCAGTGAACTGACGTAAAAATTCACCGAATGCTAGCTGCCATCTACACAGTGAACTGACATACAAATTCGCTGAATCCTGGCAAAAGCAATGACGGCTACAGCAAGTTGCAGCATCTTCACACTTGCTCCATCATGTGCATTTACACCAGATCAGTGACAGTGCAGCTGCAACAGTCAGCCATGCGTGTCTACTTTGCCTGTGCACACCCAAAGAAAGACCGCCCAAGGATGAAACAAATCAATAGCAAATTAAGATGTCGGCAAAGATACATCACTGATCATCACATGATCAAAGAATTTGATGCACCATGTTCCTGTCTTCTGTGGATCAGCACATCACCAGACCGAACCAATCAAACTTCATTATCTCAGGATTACTATGAATGGGGATTCCTTAGGAAATATTCCTATACGATTCAATCCTATGAATCAAATGACCAATGTAGAAAAAAAAACTCCCAAGAATTCAAACCGTTCAAAAATCCTATGAAAATTCTTTAAAACAAAGAGGCCCTTAACGGTTTAGTGGGTGACTCATAATTTGGTGTGGCAACATTTGCACCAGGTAGCAAATCTTGTGTTTCACCAAGTATGTTGGCCTTGACTATGACTTTGTGAGGGAAAGGGTTGCTAAGAACCTTCTTGACAGTCGGTTCATTCCTTCTAAGGTCATGTTGCAAATGGCTTCACTAAGGCCTTATCATAAGAATCTAAAAATAGTTCAAGTGTGTCATCTCAACTTATCCAAGTTGTGAGCGAGAGAGGTTATTATAACATGCTAGAAAATTATGTACTTCTTGATGTACACGGTGGTTACTTGTTAGAGATGAAATGAAACTGTATTCTTATAAGACCAAAGGCTTGTCGATCAAGATTGTAAGAAACATAAACTTTGCAGGCTAGCCGAGTCTAATGATCCCTATTGATAAACAACCACATGATCTCTATGGAGGTTGGAACACCTCAACCTAGCACCAAAGTTTACAGTGACACCCGCAACTTGGACACTGATGACTCGTGCCTTGCTGTACGACCGCTCAGCACGAGAGTATACCCATTCAGTACCAACCCATTGAGGGCGTCTTCGGCATCGCCCGACCTTTCCATTGTCACCATTGCCATGGTAACACATCCTGCCCCAGGAGAGGTCACCTTGGCGGTCAAAACTTTGTCATGCTTGCTGAAGAAGCGGCGCAACAAGGAGCTATCCATGCTGGCACAGTCGGAGGCAGGTTTTGCACCACGAAGCTGAAGGACTCCTTGGACTGTTCTGGTCGTTTCTCCTTCCGGATAGATCTACTTCCTATTGTTGGATGATATGCCTTTGGAGCCTCCGGCCATTCTTTAATTACCTTAGGAAAAAAGCAAGGTTGGTTATGGACCATGACGGTTATGATGCCAAACACACACACATGCACGCAAGTATGCCTACATAAGTGAGTCGAAGTTCATCAAATCATCATTTATGAAGTATACGATATGATCTTCTAGTTGTTGTTGAAAATAGGAAATTTATATTTCAAAAAAGGAACAAATATATAGGACTAGCTTCTTTATTTTTTGAAAGGGAGGTTAAAACCCCTCTGCATGATGCACAGGACAATCTTTATTAAAATTGATTTAAAGGCAGCAAGACTAAATCCCACAACAAGTAGAGCACAAAATATGAACAACTACAACAGATCCGCATTACAAGATGTGAAATTAACACGAATAACTAAGTTATTTGGCATCCATGCCTTCAAGAAGGGATAAAATCCCTCACACTACTGCATCAAATATATATGACTACGTTATGATGGCAACGCA